GCTTAGTACTCATCGGCCCTCTTTACCCCTCCCCCAAAATGCCTGTGACCCCCCCCCCGTCATTCTGGGCGCTTTCGCCCTATGCCAAGACGGCTGGGGGGGCGTGGAACGGCGCGGAGAGAGAGAGCCAGGGGTCCTCTTTCATCTCTCATTCATCTGAGTCATTCCTCCACGGGCACCCCCCCTCCCGGCCCCCCCCCCGCCCTTGTCCCCCCCCGCCTCCCCCGCCCCCGTCACCATTTTGGCAGCCAGGATGGTGACGGGGGCTCAAGCTATTCGGAACTCAAGTGAACAGGGTTCCTTGCGAACCAGGTTGACGCCGCTGACCCGCGGCAGTCCAGGCTGTTCGGCATGGATGTTCCTCGCGTTTGTTGATCCGCCCCAACACCCGCCTACCCCCCGACCTTCGGGCAGAGCAGTCTTTCTCAGACCAGCCTTTGATTGAGACACGTCGAAGGCAAAGCAGCGTACGCGCCAGATCAGAAGCGCACCAACAAAGTAACTCAGCGCACGCACGAGGCATGTTTGGGATGTGGAACAGTGTTGAAGCAAGCGGCGGAAAAGGGTTGCAGCCACCACAGGGCCGCTGGAGTCAAGCGTCGCCGCTGCAGCCTGCGCGGGGCTTCCCGCGGCCAGCTCGTGCTGTCGCCGTTCCCACCGACCACGCGCGCCCCCGCGACGCCCGCGAGGCTGCTTCCTCCATTACCCAGTCAGCAAAACAACCCAGCCCAAACGACGAACATTAAACGACAATATCGCAGCGCAAACGTAAACGCACACAGGCAATAACGGCATCGACGCGGACGCGGACGAGACGGAGTTCGAACACATGATCGCATGTTAATCGAAGCGCCTCGAGCCCGATCCGATCGCCAAGCCGACCGCCCCAGCCTTGTTTGAGGCAGTTTTCCAGCGCGTTGCTGCGGCAGCCCGTGATGCCATGACCAAACGCGAACACTCCACCGAGTGGGCCACCAAAATTGAGAATTAGTTGGAAGATGCCTCCGCATATTTGAAGGACGAGGTGACAATCCTGGCGGCCGCGGAGGCCACTGAGGAGGGTGCAAGAGCGAGCCTTGCACCCCCCTGCCTCGCCACCGCCAAGACGGCAGCACCAGAAGCAGTCATTGACCCCCGGGCATTGACTGAAAGCGAGCGCGCCGCAATCACGGAAGGACATCTTCCCCGACCCCGACAACGGTTCCGAGTTGATCGACTTCGGAAGTGCAGATGAGCTCATGCAGCAGTGGAGCGCGCGCAAGAGACAGTTGGCGCATTCATCCCGCAGCTGGTGCAGGAGCACGTCAAGTCCATGTCCACCCATGCCAAGACACACACGTGCACTATGAAAAAAGAGTTGATGTGTTATCCCCTCTCGTGAGGGGCCTTTCGAGCCCATGTCCACCCACGCCAAGACATACGCGCACGCCATGGAAAAGAGCCGACGCGTCGTCCCCTCTGCGTGGAAACACGGCAGAGATCACAGCGGAGGCCGTGCCGCGGGCGCCGCTGCCTGCGGAGGCTGCAGGAGAGGCCCCCCAACGCAGCGCCCTCGCAGGCCGCCGCCCCGTCGCAGCCGCAGGAAGCCGCCCCCGCGCCGTCTCCTCCTCCTCCTCCTCCTCCTCCTCCTCCTCCTCCTCCTCCTCCTCCTCCTCCTCCTCCTCCTCCTCCTCCTCATCCTCATCCTCGCCCGCGCCCGAGGCCCGGCCCGAGCCCATGCCAGATCCGAGGGGTTGCTCCAGCTTGCCGCCAGGGGCAAGGGCGAGAGTGGCCTGGACACGGCCCCCGGCCGCCTCCCCGGGCGAATCCAGGAGGGCGGCGCAGAAGGCCGCTGCGAAAAGAGAGCGGGCGGGGCGCACCTCCGCATGCCCCGATCCTCGTCATCGCCTCGTCGGAGCTCCCGGCGAGGGACCCCTGGCCCCCGCGCCAGTCGAGCTCGCGGGCGCCTGCGGCCAGGCCTGGGCGCGTCGAGTTGTTCACCCGCCCCCCTTCCCCGCCGCCCCCCCTTCTGTTAGAACCCTCCTGCTTCGACGCGACCCCTGAGGAGATCTCGAGGCTCGAGGTCAGAGGCTGCGTCGACGTCAGCCCCGGAGATCTCCTCCCGCTGCCGCCATGCCGCCGCTGGGATGTTTTTTCGGCATTTGCTCGGGCATGGGGCGCAGCGTCGCATGGCCCTGGCAGATGACCAGGGCATGGATCGTTCGCCTGCCCAAATACAGGAAAGCATCTTAGATTGGCCAGTCTTACTTTCGCTGCTGGGCTATCGGCCCCATCCCGCGGGGCGGAGGCTGCGCCAACCAGCGGGCGCGCGAGCGCTGCGTCGTTTGGTTTTGAGCGGCAGCGCCGCAGAGTTTCTGATGCCCACCGCATTTGGCGCATGCGATGCAGACAGTTTGCGCGACAGCTTGGAACGAGTGATGGTCGTAAAGTTGGTCTCGAGGCACAAATGCCCTGACCGCCTTGCCCCCTCGTGTCTTCGAAACCTTACGCCGTTCTCGGGGGAGGGCGGCAGGATGTTGGCCAGCCGAGTACCTCGCAGCATGTGTTGTTTGACCCCACGTATGGTTTGAGGTGGCGCACCGGAGGGCCCGAGAGTAGGCGCAAGGCTTCCGACGCGGCACCGAGATAGCCGCGAGATGCCTCGAGCCCAGCGTCCGCCTCAGGCGCGTGGTTTCAACCTGCGTTGTTCCCCGAGCCAGCCGCGCAGCAAATTGTTCGGGGGGCCCACAAAGTAGCCCCGAGGAGTTGCGTCGAGCATCCGCCCGCGCCGTCTGGGAAAATGAGCAGGGCGGGTGCCCAACGACCGTGATGGCCTTCAGTTGGGGATCGACGGGCCTTGCCATTGTGGCCATTTTAGATTTGATCGCCGAATGGTCTCATCTTCTGAAGCTCGAGAGCGCCCCAAAAGGCCGCCTCCAGGAGGCCCCAGATCCGAGGCCCATGTCAGCGATTGTCACTTGTTTCCTTGGCCTTGGATGGGAGGCAGCGTCCGATCCATGGCCAAGGGAGCCGGGGAGGGGTGTGCCGAAATTGAAGGTGGAACCGCATGCGAACCCTGCCACTGGGGCCGTTGGCGGAGCTCCTTGTGGGGCCACGAAGCGTGTGAAGGGGGTGCTGGAATGGGGGGTGGAACCGCATGCGAACCCTGCCACTGAGGCCTTCGGTGGAGCTCCCTATAGGGCCACGAAGCGTGTGAGGGGTGTGCCGAAGTGGAGGGCAGAACCGCGTGCGAACCCTGCCACTGGGGCCTTCTGTGGAGCTCCCTATGGGGCCACGAAACGTGCTAGGGGTGTGCCGAAATGGGGGTGGAATCGCATGCGAACCCTGCCATTGGAGCCTTCGGCGGAGCTCCTTGTGGGGCCACGAAACGTGTGAAGGGGGTGCCAGAATTGGGGGTGGAACCGCATACATACGCTGCCACTGCGGCCTTCGGTGGAGCTCCCCATGGGGCCACGAAACGTATGAGTGGTGTGCCGGAAGGGGGATGGATCCGCATGCGAACCCTGCCGCTGGACCCTTTGCTCCTTGTGGGGCCACGAAACGTGTGAGGGGTATGCCGAAATGGAGGGTGGAACCGCATGCGAACCTTGCCACTGGGGCCTTTGGTGAAGCTCCCTACGAAACGTGTGAGGGGCGCAAGGGTTGGGAGGAGCGGGAAGAGGGAGAGGAGTGGGTGGGACGCTGTCTCTACAAAACGAGACCCAACACAATACGATGGTTGGGAACAATTAGCCTGGCGAAGGACCCAACCATAAGCAATATGAAGTTGTGAGTGCCGCATTGGTGAGTATTTGTCTTCGGTGGAGCTCCCTACGTGGCCACTACGCGTGTGTGAGATGTGCCGAGATTGCGAACTTGCCACTGAGGCCGTCGGTGGAGCTCCCTATGGGGCCACGAAGCGTGTGAGGGGTGTGCCGAAAATTGGGGGTGGAACCGCATGCGAACCCTACAACTGGGGCCTTCGATGGATCTCCCTGTGGGGCCACGAAACGTGTGAGTGGTGTGCCGACATGGAGGTGGAACCGCATGCGAACCCTGCCAATGGGACCTTCGGCGGAGCTCCCTATAGGCCACGAAGCGAGCGAGAGGTGTGCCAGAATGGATGCAACCGCATGCGAACCCTGCCACTGGGGAATCAGGTGGAGCTCCCTATTGGGCCACGAAACGTGTGAGGGGTGTGCCGAAATGGAGGTGGAACCGCATGCGAACCCTGCCACTGGGATCTTCGGTGGAGCTCCCTATGGGGCCACGAAGCGAGTGAGGGGTGTGCGAAAATGGAGGTGGAACCGCATGCGAACCCTGCCACTGGGGCCTTCGTTGGAGCTCCCTATGGGGCCTCGAAGCGTGTGAGGGGTGTGTCGAGATTGAGGTGGGACCGCATGCGAACCCTGCCACTGGGGCCTTCGGTGGAGATCCGTACAGGGCCACGCAACGTGTGAGGAGTGTGCCGAAATGGGGATGAAACCGCATGCGATCCCTGCCACTGGGGCCTTCGATGGAGCTCTCATGGGGCCACGAAACGTGCTAGGGGTGTGCCGAAATGGGGGTGGAATCGCATGCGAACCCTGCCACTGGGGCCTTCGTTGGAGCTCCCTATGGGGCCACGAAACGTGTAAGGGGTCAGCCGAAATTGGGGTTCAACCACATGCGAACCCTGCCACAGGGGCCTTCGGCGGAGCTCCGTATTGGGCCACGAAGCGCTGTACGGGGTGGGTGAAACGCAGGGAGGAGGGGGAGGAGGGAGAGGTAGGAGGAGAAGAAGGCGGAGAACGCGGGGACCGTGATTCCAAAACGAGGACCCAACACCACATGATGGTCAAAACAGATCCTCCTCCACCCCCTCCCCCGTCCTCCCCTCCTCCCCCCCTCCTCCCCCCCTCCCCCCCCCCTCCTCCCCCCCCCTCCTCCCCCCTCCTCCCCCCCCCCGTCTTTCGTCCTCCCCCCTCTTCCTGGAGGAGGCGGGAGCGGCAAAGGTGGTGGTCTCTCCCGGAGCCTCCCAGGCGGACGGCCCTCGGCAGCTGGGGCGACGGTAACTTCGAGGACGCCGGGCGAGATGGCGAGGGGCTCAGCGCTGCGGCGGTCGGCTCATGTTAGGTCGGGCGTGTCCCCCTACAGGGGGATTTTCGACGAAACATACAAAATGTGCCAGACAAGAATGAAAGAGAAAGAACCATGAAAATTACAAATCACACATGTTCAACAAATCATCCAGGATGGCCAAGCAAATACGCCAAACACAGTCCGCAGACCATGTTTTGAGTATTCCTTCTGTGGAGGGACGGGCCCGACGTAAGGCTCGTGGCAGCGCCTCGTCCTTCCGCCCTCCCCGGCGAGGCCCGCGGCGCCGCGGCGTGCGGGCCCTCGTGTCCGAGTGCCCTCCACCGTGCGGGAGCCAATCGGGCGACTGGCCCCTTGCGGCGTGGCGAGGCCCCGCTGGAAGCTCGAGGGCCCCGTGGGCCTCCCGCACGCTTCGGACCTCACCACCCACCAAACCACCCCAACCCATCCCGAAGGTTTCGATTTGACCTCCATTTCCAGTTGGGGGGGGTCGAGGAACCTCGAGAAAACACATATGGAACCCGTACCCCCCCAACCCGAAATTCGGGTCTTCGGGTTGGGTTGGGGTGGTCTGGTAGGTAGTCAGGACCTGGGAAGGCTGGAGGTGCGGTGTTTCTATAGGAGGAGGACTGGAGATGGCCGGGCAGGCATGTGCGCGACGCCGGGGCGGGATATCTATGTTGAGAGCGAGCAGGTGTTCCATCCGTATGACCCTTGAGAACGTTGCGATTTGACGAAGTAGGGTATCAGGAGTCCTCGACCGATAGCGTGATCTTGGAAAGGAGCCGCCCCACTCCCCACCCGTGTCACTGTATGGCACTTTCGGTTTGGTGGATGTGATTGCGGCGACTGCTCAGGCGAGAGCCAAGTTTCGAACATCAGCGGTCGTCCATCCGCGCAGGTGCAGTCGTCCATCCGCACAGGTGTTAGAAGCACGATTAGTTACGCCCACATGCAAAGATTGAGGAGTTGTTTGGCGAGAGTTCGATTTAGAATCGACTTGTATTATGTAAGTGCTTGAACGGTCGTGTCTTGGCTGTATTCAAGTCGAAGACAATTCCGACCAGAATTGTGTTTTCTCCCCTTCCATGCGAGCAACGACCATCCGTTGCCACAGGTCATGTCAATATGTCACCGAGGGTAATGCCAAATTGATCGTCAGCACACGTTGTCGCCGAAGTCGCCTATGCCAGGCGGGGCTGCGGGAACTCGCACCTTCATGTCGTAGTTGTGAAAGTGGCGGTTGTCGCGGCCGGTGTAGGTCGCTAAGAGAGCCGGGTAGTTGTCGCGGGCTTGATGGGCCTGTGATGGCCACGCTGGCCACCGTCAATGACCCCTGCGTGGCGAAAGGGGGCGGGATCGGGCGGTCGCGGCTTCTACTTGCCTCCCTTTCCTCCTCCGCCTCCTGATCCTTCTCCTCCTCCTCCTCCTCTGACGACGACGACGGCAACAACAACAACAACAACAACAACAACAACAACAACAACAACAACGACGGTGAAGAAGACGACGCCGACGGTGACGACAACGATCCCGACTCCGCGGTGGCAGGCTGGTCGCCTGGCGAGCCGTTGGGGCCCCCAGGGCAGCTGCCCGAGAAGTTCTGCGCTGGCGGCGCTGCGGGGGGGAAAGGATCGCCGCCCCGTCTCCACGAGGAGGGGGTGGGGAGCGGAGGGGGGAGGAGGAGGGGAGCAGTGGGGATCGGGCCGGACGAAAGCGGGGGGGATAGGGAAAGAGGAGGGGTTCGAAATTTGCTGCATGCAGCTGGTTTCGGCCCCGCCGCCTTTGCCCATTCCTCGATACGTGGCCGCCTCCGGCGCCGGGAGGCGCCGGGAAGATCAGCTCCGCGAGCTGATTCTCAACACGCACGCACGTGCACCACCACCCACTACGCACGCGCGCGCGGAGCCACAGGTCCGCTACGACACGCGTCCGCGGATAGAGAAAATCAGCGCCATGGTAAGGGATGGGAGGGAGGGGTAGGACGTCAGATATGACGCGAGCGCACCTAGCTTGACCCCCCCCCTCTGCCATCCCCCCCTTTCGCCCTGCGCGAGGGGAGGGAGGGAGGGAGGCGGTGGCGAGGCCACCTCGGCCCCGTTTTCGCCAACTGAAGGGGGACAGGGACACACAAATAAAGACACACAGATAAATATCCCCCATATCTTCCCATGTTTCTGGGGTTTTGTGTCTTCCCCCCCCACTGCCCATATTTTCCCATATTTTCGGGGGAATCGACGATGAATTGTGTCTGTGTGTTTCTCTTCCTCCTCCTCCTCCTTCTCCTCCCTCCTCCTCCTCCTCCTCCTCCTCCTCCTCCTCCTCCTCCTCCTCCTCCTCCTCCTCCTCCTCCTCCTCCTCCTCCTCCTCCTCCTCTCCCCGCCGGGAGCGGAGCAGCCGTCGGCTTGTCGGGCGTTTGTTGGGCAGGGGGCGGCCGCGGCAGCGAGCCGCCGCTCGCTCGCAGCGCGGGGCCGCCGCATCTCCGCGCGGGCGGCTCGGCCGGAGCTGGCGGTGAAGCAGCGGCGAGGCGTCCTGGCGTGCCTCTCTCGGGCCGGGCGAAAGGGGGGGATTGGGAAAGGGGGGGGTACGAAATTTGCTGCATGCAGCTGGTTTCGGCTTCGCCGAGGGGCCCATTCCTCGATACATAGCCGCCTCCGGCGCCGGGAGGCGCCGGGAAAATCAGCTACGGGAGCTGATTCTCAACCCCTCCCTTTGCTATCCCCCCCTTTCGCCCGACCCGACTATCGGCCGACCAAGCAATGCTCTACGACCCTTTTTGTGGTTTCCACGACAATGTTCTCAGAGCCTTTCTGGCCGAGACTGTCTGCTTGTTTTAACACATCTGATCTAATGTTTGTCAAGCAGCGGCGAGGCGTCCTGGCGTGCCTACCGGCCGACCCAGCAATGCTCTACGAGCCGTTTGTGATTTCCACGAGATGTTCTTAGAACCTTTCTGGCCGAGAGTGTCTGCTTGTTTTAAACACATCTGGCTCATGTTCTAAGAACATTGCTTCTGGTCTTAGAACACTCTTGGGTTCTAAGAACATGTCGTGGTAGGCCTGTAGGAATGCCGGGACGGTCGGTCCCTGCTCCAACACGGGGCCCAGCTTCCAGACCAGTCGTGGACAGGGAGGAGCGAGGGAGAGGCGGCAGGGAGGGGCGGCAGAGGAGGTGGATGAAGCGGGTGGGCCAGGGGTGATGAGCAGCCACACGATTTATGAGGAGGAAGGAGATGAGAAAGTACAGTCGGGGCGCTGAAGGAGGAACCCTTTTTCGCTGAGGAGAGGCTCGGTGTTCCTTGATTGTTTCACAGCTTGCCTCAGGTTTTCCTTGGATTTCGATGGGAAGCGGAAGCTTAACTTATGGATAAATAGGGGCGTCGTTCCTTATTTAGGGTTCCTTAGGTCAGCGCGCCGACTGTAGAGCAGTAGCAGTAGGGTTGCATACATCTTGTATTCTGTCTCTGCCTCCTTTCAACGCTATCCCATAGCCAGCGCTCTTCTTGCTTTCCCCTTCTCGACATGGGTTCTTCCGAGATGCCAGCATGGGCTTCGCAGATGCAGAGCGGCATCAATGCCCATACCGATTCGGCCGTGGGAGCTCTACGGACTGAGCTGCAGGAAGAGCTTGGGGTGGTCACCGGACGTTGACGAAAGTCGAAGGTCGGTAGAAGCAGGATGATGCATGCATCCAGATGTTGGAGGTTTTATTCAAACACGAAGAGCGGTTTGCGCCTAAGAACCACTAGGTGGAAGCCCTGATCAGAGAATGAACTTAACCTCCTGGGCGGCTCCTGGACTTCCTCTTGGAGCCCTCTTCGCTTGAACTAGGGGTCTCTTTTGTCATCTGGAGTCTATGTTGGGCCTTGTTTGAGTCACCTTGGGCAGTATTGGCTGCATCTTGAGGCCATCTGGGGCTTGTTCGGGGCGAGCATGCTTGACTTGGAGGCCATCTTCGCCGTCTTGAAGCCCACCTGAGGCCATCTTAGCCGTCTTCGGCGCCTCTGGGGGGCCTTGGGTGATGGAACGGGAAGGCAACCGTGGACAACCTGTTCCGCGGTGACTGCGTGGAAAAAGGCCCACGGAAAGGCCCACGCGGACAATGTGGAAGTTGTTTGGGGCCACATTGGGGGTTCCTTGGCGATCTCGGGGTCCATATTGGAGGAAAAGGCTTGACAGTTCAGTTCGTGTTCCCCCTGTTGTTGCCGTCTTTGGGGCCTTTTGGGCCATCTTGGGGACCTCGGGGGCCATTTCGGGGTGATCTTGAGAGCTTGTCAGGCCTGTCTTTGCTGCTCTTCAGTCCATAGAGGCATGCGGATTTTACACGACACCTCTGTATGCTATTCAGTGACTTGGGGCTCTTGGGGCAGCACCCAGGGCCTCCAAGACTCCAGAGCGGGCTTCGGGACAATCCTAGGCCATGTTGGAAGCGGGAGGTCCAGGCCATGTTCCCAAAGCCTCTGGACAAGTCACGCGAGGATTCCCAAGGCGCCCGTGATTCGGGTCTCGGAGCTCCCTGGGAGAATTCACAATACGCAGCGCAGATGATTCGAAGGGACTTGATCACATCCCACTCAGTGCCTACGGCACGGTGGCAGGAAGCCGTGCACAACTCGATAACGCAGACAGTTGTTAAACCTATACGCATCATATTCGTCTCGAGATTGCTGCTACCCCCTCAGGCTGTCATTAATTCGTACGCCCTGCTAAGAAGGACCGTCGTCGCAGCAGTGTGCCCAACGCCCAGATCGTAGTCCGTGCAGTCGAACCTCCAAATGGTCATTGCGCCATGGGCTCGCAATTGCGTCGCAGTGGATTCAACGCTGCTTTGAAGAGGGGTTGTTTGGGGAGACTCCCCCGAGAGACGGGATCGGCCAGTCGAACTGAGTCACGAGATGTTCCTGAGCGCGATCATGTGGGACATCGTTGGGGAACGGGCTTTTACTGGTCCCCGCTACTGCGGGGTACCGGAGACGAGTTGCGCTTTACTGGTTCCTACGCCCGCAGTTGGTTGGGTGAGAGAAGGGATGGAGCCACCTGAAATTTACGAGCGGTCTTGATTAGCAGAGGGAGGGACAATGCAAGGAGCAGCAAGGAGAGCATAGGCCTCACATACTGGGAAGGCAAGTGATTGAGCGAACAGAAGGAAAACACTTAAACGGAGACAGCGAAGTTGAAGGGTGTCATTGAAGCTAATTAAAGTCAGCGAATGGGCCCTCCAGTACTCCGCATCTTGTGCTACGGCGACAGCCTCACTGTTGGTTTCTGTGCAGGCTCGGGGGGGGGGGGACACAGGGCAAGCGCAACATATGTGAGGGGCACCGAAGCAAAGCTGCTGTCGATCTCGTCTTGTGACCTCTGCTTGGACATGCGTCTGAATGTGGTTCTCGCCGACACTTGCATAGCTTGAGGTGCGCAGCTCACCAGCTCGTGCCATATCCATTCGGTGGGCTGCACGAACAGTAACTCCTGCACGCGGCACGCAGAGTAGGCTCCGTGCTCAGCCTCTGTCGTTGACGAGCCGCGCAGCACATGCGCTATGCTCCACGTGTGTGTAATTGTCAGGCTCTGAAAATCGTCAGCATATTCTTGCCCCGTGCATATCCAACATGGGTCCAGGGAAAGTAGTTTCCGTGCACAGTCAACATGGGTCCAGGGAAAGCAGTTTCGTGTCGTTGTTCCATTGCGCGGTTGTAGCATGATTGTTGTAGCAGTCGCTGGTTACAGCACCGTAGCCAGTACCCATTCCAAGTTTGTTTTCCCTTCATTGGAGCATACGCGGACATGTTGGCAAACACGTATTGCATAGATAAGCCTCGCCGATGTACAACGTATGCAAGTGATTGGCGAGTGCCTAACGGTGATTTTTGGGAAGAGCTACTCTTATTGCGATTACGATCTGAAGAACTTGGCTGGGGTCTCTCACTTCGCTGTTCAATTCTGCACAGAGTCCGACCAGAGCTGGATTCAGCCAGCGACGTCACCTCCGACAAACTCGCCGACTCCGACCCGAGTTCAGATATTTCACACTCAGTTCTCTTTATTTGTACTTATACAGCCGTGACCACGGAGATGCAGCAGGTATGGCATTTGGACCATCCAGTGGGGTGCCGCCTGGGTGTATTGAACGGGCCCGTTCGCGTCCAGATTGTGAGGCTGGCATGAACGAAACGCTCGTTCGATGTTCTGAACGCGTTTTTGCTTCAGAGACCAATAATCACCGCGACGTGACAGGCATGGCACTTGAACCACCCAAGGGGGAGCCGCCAGGGTATTGCAAAATTGCCCAGGAATCCGCTTCACAGGGAGCCGCGCACTCTTGAGTGCAACCAATGCTAGGATCAGCCACCAAAGCTGGCTCCGCCACCGTCGCCAGCGCCAATGCCGTGCAGTCGACAAATCCCTCCGTGAGTGTCGAACGATGTCCATGGGGTTGGGAGCCCTCCTGGGGCCCAGTGGGGCATTCCTGGAGGTCTGCAGAGTCGGCCGCAAGGGTCAAGTCCATTGAAATAGATCCGCGTTCCAAAACGAATGTTTCCGTTTGTTTAGTCTTTCCCGGCTTCGCCCCCCCCCCCCACACCACACACAAACGAAACATATAACAAAAGAAAGGGCTAGGCAATGAAGAGGAGCAGAAAGAGGATTACAATATGCACGACGAAGACAAAATTCCCAAACGCCTTCCCCCTCTAAATTCGCTCGGAAGTGCTCTACTTGATCCACCCGAGCCCTCGCAGAGCAATCCAGCCGAGAAATTCTCCCCGAAAACAAAAAAAGCAGGAGATCCAGTCGTCTTCAGCGAAGGATGCGCAACCATTGCATCCTCATGAAGTCCCCTTCCAAACGCACAGCAAGATATAACCGCGCAGTCAACAAAGCAGCAGCAGCAGCAGAGATTACCAGGATGAAGAAAGACATTAGATAACAAAACGTATATAAACACAAATCTGCAGGCGTAGCACGAGCAGCACTCGTCTCCCACCCAGACCTCACGAAGTCATGATCCCACACCATGTACAGTTTCACCAACCACCAGCCCACGAAATCCTTGCGAGCGAGCAGGACAAACAAAGACACTCACGAGAGCTCGTCCACCTCGTCCTCCTCCTCCTCCCCTTCCTCCTCCTCCTCCTCCTCCTCCTCCTCCTCCTAAGACGTTCGACCCCGACGGCTCCAGAGATCCCCAACTCTTGCATGTCCTGTCTCTCCGCCTCCTGTCTCACCCCGGTGGCAAGGGTAAGTTGCCGGCGCGCTACGTTTTCAGTCTCATGGGAGTGTCAGTGATCCGTTGTGGGGAGCGCCTAACTCGTTCATTCATTCCTTGGCCTCGCCCACCGCCTCCCCCTCCCACGCAGCAACCAAGTGAAAGCCCGCGTCAGGACCAAGAACCTGAGCGTGCTTTTCCGCCTCCTCGCCCTTCTCGTTTTTCTGTTCCTCCTGCTCCTCCTCGTCCTCCTCCTCTTCGTTGTCGTCCTCGTCCCCGCCGTCCTCCTGCACCCCTTTCTCCTCCTCCAGCTCTACCTTCTGTTCCTTCTCCTCCTCCTCCTCTTCGTCGTCCTCCTCCTCCTCCGCCTCCTCCGCCTCCTCCTCCTCCCCTCCCCCCCCCCCTCCTCCTCCTCCTCCTCCTCCTCCTCCTCCCTCCTCCTCCTCCTCCTCCTCCTCCTCCTCCCCCTCCTCCTCCCTCCTCCTCCTCCTCCCTCCTCCTCCTCCTCCTCCTCCTCCTCCTCCTCCTCCTCCTCCTCCTCCTCCTATTCTGAGCACGAGCACGAGCGTCCTCGTAATCATCCTCTGGGCCACGGGCGGGCGCGCAGACGAGCGCGCGCGCAAGGCGGGGCAGGGGCACCGGGCGGCGGCGGCGGCGGCGACGACGACGCCGACGACGGCGCCAGCTGAGAGAAAGAGGGCGGGGGGAGGGGGAGGAGGAGGAGGAGGAGGAGGAGGAGGAGGGGGAGGAGGAGGGGGAGGAGGAGGAGGAGGAGGAGGAGGAGGAGGAGGAGGAGGAGGAGGAGGAGGAGGAGAGAGGAGGAGGAGGAGGAGGAGGAGGAGGAGGAGGAGGAGGAGGAGGAGGAGGAGGAGGGAGGAGGAGGAGGAGGAGGAGGAGGAGGAGGAGGAGGTCCGCGTGTGCCTGCCGTTTTTCTGGCTCTCCTCCCTGGCCCGCGTGCAGGAGGCGGCCCGCCCTCTGGCCCTCGACGGTGGGGCCGCTGCCCTCGGCCCCGGGGTGCCGGAGGAGCAAGGAGGTGATGGCTCATCCCGCTCAACCGGTACCCACCTCACCGTGCCAAACACATTGTCCGGAACTGACCTGGCGCCGATCTCACGCGGCCGAATTCACCTGGCGCGCACGTCACTTGGTGCCTGATGCACCCAGCGCTTCAGCGGGACCGCCGACACCGACACAGGCGCTACAAAACGCCGCTGTTTTTGAGAGCGTGCCAACCCAGGATTGGAAAGAAAGCGCCGACTCGCACAGAAAAGACACCCTCGCAATTGCCGCCGTTGTCGAGACGAGCCCAGGCGACTCGAGGACAACCCTGCAGAGGAGTCGCCCGCACTGACACAAGAAAAGGAGGCTCTACAAAACGCCGCTGATTCGGAGACGACCCCAGACGACTCCAGGAGCACGCTGAACAGGAAACGCCCAGACGGACGCAAGCAGAGGACGCGCTACAGAACTTCGCTGTTTTGCAGATAAGGATAACCCACGGTGGGAGAGAAACGGCAGCAGTGGCACAAGCATGAAACGCGATACGAAATGCCGCTGCGAGTAGCTCTATCCCAGGTGAGTCCACGACCACGTGGCTATGCCGAAGAGGAAACGCACGCACCGACACAGGCAGCGGAGGCGCTAGAGAACGGCCCTGCTTGGAGAACACGCCAACTGGCATTGAAGAAGAAACGACGCACTGTCAGCGGCAAGACACGCGCTACAAGTCGCCTCTGCTTCGCAAACGCCAACAGAGGCAAATGTCTCTCTAGACAACGCACCTGTGGATCAACAGAAGCCGAATCCACGCTTGACAGGACGCAATTGCATAGGCAAGAGACGCAGTAGAGCACGCCGCTGCCCGGTGCCTAAGTCACCAGGAGCCTAACTCACCCGCTGCCGAATTTACCCGGAGCTGAACTTACCGGGAATTCAACTCACCGGGTGCCGAATCACCCGGTGCCTACATCACCCGGTGCCTACATCACCAGGTGCCTAACTCACTTTGTGCCTATACACCTGGTGCTTAATTCATTTGGCGCCTACGTAATTTGGTGCCTAACCCACCCTGTTCCTGACTTGGTGCAGCACTCACGCTGCGCACCCGCTGTTTAATTCACTGGGTCCCTAACTCACCCAGCGCTTACCCCACCGGGGTTAACTCATCCTGTGCATAATTCACCCTGTGCTTATTTCACCCTGCGCTGAATCCACCCAGACTACTTCACCCGGTGCTGTACTCAGCCAGCCTAACTCTATGTGTGCTTTATTCGCTCGGGCCAATCCACCCGGTGCCTAATGACCCACGCTTGTTAAAAACGATGCCCCCCCTTTCCCCCCCCCCCGGATCCCGACTGCTATTAATTCGCCGCCGAGTAATTATGTTTTAGCCGCCGCCCCTGGAACAGATTCCACGGAGACCGAACTATGCGATTTATAAATACACGCATGTGATTTCCCTGATCATTGATTTTCTTTTTAGATTATGGTGTGATTCTGGCTTCTTGGGGGCCTCCTTGGTCTCCGCGGCCATTTGGACCCGTGTTGGGGCCATCATTGGGCCATTTGGAGGCATCTTGGAGGCCATCTTGAGCCAGCTTGAACCATCCTGCGCCATCTCGAAGGCCATCCTAAAGCACCTGAGGCCATCTCGGAGCCCCCTCTGGGGCCCTCTCGGCACCAGAAGGGGTGCTCAAGGGATGGTCCCTGAGTGCGTGTTCTGTCGACGCCGAGAGGTCGCAGGGCAAGACTGGCGCGGCGTTTTCTGAGCACCAGTGAGGGAGGATGTGCACGGAGTGGTCTCCCTCGGCGCAGTCTCGATCCACTCCAGGTCGCAGGGCGTGTCAGGTGTGGCACGCTTGCGACCCAGAGAGGGTGCGCAGGGGTAGGGGTAAAGTGAACCCGACCCCTCAGAAATCGTGGGGGGTAGGGGTAGGGTTCGCATGTGGCCCCTACAGGGGGTGGTCCTGGAGCGCAGTCTCGATCCATGCCGAGCTCGCAGGGCGTGGAAGGCGTAGCCTGACGTCAAGAGGGTCTGTGCAGGATTCCGCTCCCGCGCGCGGAGCGCCGGGGCGGTCGCGGGGACGTCCCCGGCGGTCCTGTTTGCCCAGTTTTCCTCTTGTCTGCCATATGCGCACTACACAGCGTTGGGAATCCTCCTCCTCCTCCTCCTCCTCCTCCTCCTCCTCCTCCTCCTTCCTCCCCCCTCCTCCTCCTTCCTCCCCCCTCCTTCCTCCCCCCTCCTCCCTCCTCCTCCTCCTCCTCCTCCTCCTCCTCATCATCATCCTCCTGCGGTGATGGCCCACTTCGATTGATTGTTCGAACCGTTTGCAGACATCAATTCGCCCGGCTTTGCTCACCTGGTCGCAATTCACCCAGACCGCGGGCTCAGTGAGCCGGAGCGGGTGAATCACGATCTGGTGAACCAGCCTGGCTCGTTCAAGGGGGTTCCTGGACGCCGTCTTGTGGCACCTTTGGGCGTCTGGGGGCCTTCTCGGGCAGCACTTGTTGGGTGTAACTAAAAGCTGTATATGGATCATTCGGCCGGACGAGGATCCAGTCCGAAGTTCGGCGTTTGAGCCAGGCGGTCTGGTGGTTCAGCGCCTGCCTGGGAAAACACAAAAGGACGCCCGAGACAGTCATGGGGCCCCATCATGCTAAAGAGTTGCGAGAATGTTACCAGCTCCCATGAGCGAGAGGGTGGTGCAGCTCGCACGTGGGAGCTGGTGGTCAAGGCATGGGCGGCTGGCTGAAGGCATCCGCATTCGTGCACGTTTCACAGATTGCTCTCTCGCTGTGTCCGGCGCCCGGCTTTGTGTTATAATTTTGTATGGTTTGTATTATCATATTTCTTATATGTTTAGTCTTCACATTATGATTAACAAATTTGTCATTATGCTTATTCTTTTTAGTATTTAAATATCTCTGCTTCTTATTATGCTTGCTAGGATTTGTTTCTTTTTTCCTGAGTGCTGCTGCAGCCGTCGTGGACCACAAGAAGCTCGAAATGGGGAGAACCCCCAAATCATTCCAAAACCTAGGTGGGGTCAAAGTTTTCTGCTTCGGGCAGCCCCATTGGGACGCTTCTGGGGCCTTTTCTGAGAGCCTGTTGGGTCGCGACGTGGCCATCTTGGGGCCACGTGGGAAACGTCCTCGGGTTTCCCGGAGGCCTCTGAAGCACATGCAGGGCAGCATTGGGGGCTGTTGGGAACTTTTGGGACGTTTTGGAGGCCGCGCGCACCATGCGAAAACCATCTTGGACCCTTTTGCGATCCTTCGGGGCCGTCTCGGGGCCCCCCATTTAGGCCTGTGTTGGACTTCCCAGACGCCGTTTTGGAACACTTTTGGTCGTTTTTAGGCTGGCAGTCTTGGGGCCGTCCTGGAGACTGCTGCAGCCGTCTGTGGGTTCGGCGTGGGCCACAGGAAGCTCGAAATGTAAAGAAACCACAGATCCTTCCAAACCAGAGTGGGATTCAAAGGTTTTTGCATCGGGCGGCCATGTGGGAGCCTTTTTTGGGGCTCTTTGGAGGCCGTTGAAAACACATGTTTGGCAGTATTGGGAGATTCTTGGAGGCTTGGGGCGTCTTGGAGGCCGCGTGCATCGTCCCAGGGCCACCTTGGGCCGTCTGACGGTCCCTCGGGGCTGTCTCGGGAGCCCCGTCTAGGCTTTTGTGGGGGTTCCTGGGCGCCGTCGTGGGGCACTTTTCGGTGTCCGGGGGCACCTGTGGCAGCCGTCTGGGGGCGATCTGGGGCCTACGGGAAGTCAGGGGTGTTTGCCTCTGGCCGCACTCTTGGGGCTCTTCGGGGGCCTCCTCGGGACCCTGTTGGGTCGTGTTGTGGCCATCCCAGGGTCATGTGAGAGCCGTCCTCGGGAGTTCTTGTCCATCTTGAGAGTCGCAGCGAGGCCTCTGTGGCCTCCGCGGAGTCCAGAAGTGTCTGGGCGGCTAGCCGCGGAGGCCCAGGGGGCCGAGGGAAAGGTGCCCAGGGGCGGGGGGGGGGCCGTCCGAATGGAGTCCTGGGATTTTCGGGGGGTGGCAGGGGGGTTGGCCATCGGGGGGGGAGGGGTCGATGCAGGATGTATAGCTATTGGAATGTACCCACCGATCCAATCATCAATGTGTCAGCCCTCTGATGCTATCGGTCTCGCTACATATGCGTAATAGATATATGTAGGACGGGCCGACAATGGGACAACCGTGGACAATTACGGAACGTGGGAAAACCACTGGACATACATTTATTTGTTTATATCGTTTTCACCACCAATCTGCCAGTCCCAATCTCAATCGATCGGCCGGTAAATTCACGATGCATTTGCCTCACACTTGATCTACCACGATCGACCGTTCTACCAGTCTCAGCAATGATCCATCGATCCCACTGTCCAGGTATCTGCAGACGTATCTGGTGTCTTTGGACCCTGATGTCACGATCTGCGTGAGAGGTGCGCCTGGTTTTCGGCATGTTGGGGATGTCCTGAGCGAGATCTCCTGAGTTCTATTCCCTCAGAGGAAGGCGTATGTTAGTAAGTACGCGTGTGCGTCGTTCACATCTACAGTGTTTATCAACATACGGTTGATTCAACGACGCCAATCATGTCTACGTGTGCTTGTGTGCCAGGGTTTTGTGCACACCGCCACATCTCCCACGACAACAAGCTAGTGCGATGGCCCATGCATCTTCTTTGTCGCCGCAGCAGCTGGGGAGTTTGCGCACAGAGTCACGCGCGCACGCCACGCGCGCTACAAGCGAGAGGCTCGAAGCTGGACTTCCGTAGCGAAGCTGGCTGCACGCGATACTTTCATGCCCCCAAGCCTTCAATCTTGAGTCGTCTGGATGCCCCACTGGACCGCGGCATGGCGTGTAGTCCGCGCGCTCATCGCGAAACCGCGGGTGTGGGCCTCATCGAGCTCGGGCTTGGGGGGCGGCTCAGGCGGCGCCGGCGGCCCGCAGGTGGCAGTCGTTGCGAGCCCTACGGGAGGTCCTTGGCGGTGGCCGTCGCGGAGGCCACGGGCCACGCGACCGAGGCTCCCCATGGAACGGGGGCACGCTTCCGCGGGAGCATGCTTCTGCGACCACCTGCGAACCCTACCAGCACTGGTCATGTCGGCCCTGGGGTACCCGACACCCCCGCTCTGAGCCCCGGCTAGTTTTTTTTTGTTCGGCAATCTGACATGCAGGGGTGGGGTTCACATGTGGCTGCTTATCGGGGGAGCGTAAGACCCGGGTTTGCCGGGACTCGGGTTCGCCACCGTTTTTTGACGACTGCGCCTCGGATTTTGACGAGGAGGAGTTTCGTGGGATGTCTGCAGCGGGAGGCCTCGTCAAAATGCAGGCTCGGCCTCGTCATTTTTTTGACGACCTCGTCGGGGATTTCCGAGTCCCCTGTGACCGGGTCTTACGTCTCCCCGAGCTTAGCGTGGCGTCTTCCAATGCAGTCCTGCCCGGCTGTGCCTCAGCTCTCGTGCGGCCTTGAAAAAAGGCGTTGCTGGCGGGCGGTGCTCGCCGAGTGACCCCTAGGTTGGGCCCCCGCACGCTGGGGATCCCAGGGGTGTGGCGCGAGTTCAGAGCCCCGAATCATCAGGGGTAACTCGGGCGTCCAGAGCCCCGAATCATCAGGGGTAACTCGGGTCAGGGCTAACTCGGGTTCCTTTTTCGGGAATCCAAACCCGAGTTACCCCGGACCCGAGTTACCCCGGATAACTCGGGCGTCCAGAGCCCCGAATCATCAGGGGTAATTCGGGTCAGGGCTAACTCGGGTTCGTTTTTCGGGAACTCAAACCCGAGTTACCCCGGACCCGAGTTACCCCGGATAACTCGGGCGCCCAAGCGAGGTCTCGCCACGTTGGCCCTGGCTCAAGGCAGATTCGGTTTCGGAGTCGGCTCGTACAGTGCCACTTCCCATTCTTTTGTTTTGGAAGAGTCCCCTGTGTTGGTGGGCAACCTCGCAGCTGCGGTCGACCATCGAGGCGGTGCCTCATGCCCCGCGCCTCGCGCTGAGTGACCTGCATGTGTTGGGAGGGTTGGAGGCTCTGTAGCTCGCGGGCCTCGTTGGCTGTTGCATGATAGCGGCAGTGGAGAATACCGAAGACGCCCACCGCGAACCACCCTCGCCCCCTCCTGGAAACGCATATGTGATCCAGGTCCCAGGCCCCCCCCCTCACCATGCTGATGGTATTGCCTCCCCTCCCCCGATGGGCCTGCCCCTCCCCCCCTGTGGGTGTGGTGTGGCATGTAGCCTGTGGGTTTGGGTTGGTGGGGGCCGTCGTCGTCGTTTTCGTATTCGTCATCGTCGTCAGAGTCTTCAGACTCGGCATCGGCATGCGCCTCGCCGTTCGATCTGTAGCGGATGATATCCGAATCATGGTGCTTTTTCTTGTTTTAGGTTCCGTTGTCGTTGCCTCCTTTGCCACCGCCTCCCCTGCCCGCCACCGCCTCCGCTGCCACCGCCTTCGCTGCCAGAGCTCGTCATCCGATCCCGACGGTGCCTCCCGCCAGAGGATCCTACGTTCTGTCACAGTCCTGGTGCTTCGCATGTGTACAACAGGTATCGCCCGCTGAGTGCTGAGTCGCGGTGGCCCGTTCAGCACACCACAGCGTTCTGGCAATGCGAGTGATGCGGGCTTCCGAGTGAGAAGCATGTTCGCCGCGGTATACGCTATGTGGTGCAATGTATGTCGTGTAGGCTGCGCAGTGTGAGCCATGGAGATGCAGGCAGCGTGTAGTGCATGATGTGTCAGCCATGCCTTGTAATATGTGTCGTGAGGGCTGGAAATGAATGCAGGCCGTGTGGTTAAGCTGTGTTGTGCAGGCCATGCCGTGCAAGCTGCGTGGTGCAAGCTCGGCGCGCCAGGCGCCCACGAGTGCCCGCGAGGCGGCACGCGGCGCCACCTCGGCGGGCCCACCCGGTGCACGGGGTGCCCACGAGCGCCCACGAGGCGGTACGGGGCGGCAGCGGTGAAAAAATCATCGGCGAACCCGTCGAGAAGAATCCCTGAGTGTAAGCACTGGTTGGGGAGTGTGTTGCCAAATTGATCGGGCTCCGTCAGAGCGTCTCGGATCCTGCACAGCCTCTCGGCAGCCGGTAGCACTTGCCACCCCGCATCCGGTCCCGCCCTCATGCCTGACTGCTCAGCATAGGCATGGAGTTTGAGTCTTGCAATGAGGTTGAGGTGTGCGGGCACTGCGGCCACTCAACGGATCAGATGTTCAAGAATCTAGACAGCGACCACGTCATCGATGTTTGTGGCGCCATTGGCAAAGGACTTCGAAGGATTCCAGTTTGCTTGCTTAGTGTTTAACTCGCAGGGCGTGGAGGAGGTTGATGCCATTTCCGCCAGTTGCACCTCACCATCAGTTGCAACACATTCGCTTGAGCCCGAAAGCAATATGTACGCTTGGCCTGGCAGCACCACCTCCTTAGGAACAGCATTCCAGGTGTATCTGCCTTGCCAAAGTTCGGATCGCGTCGTACTGGAATGTATTGCGCCATTTGTCTCTCCCCCTCGTCTCCGCTGAGACGGATTTCAGAAGTTGGTCGTTTGAGCCATTAGAGATTTGCAGATTGTTAGTTCTTGTTCTCCAGAGCAACGGTATAGTGCATGGGATCGTTCATCGCGGGTCGACAGGAGGAGGTAGAAGGAGGAGAGGAGGAGGAGGAGGAGGAAGGAGAACGCAGCAGGAGGGTGTGCAGACGGATAAGTGAGTGTTTCAAGTCATGTGCCAGTTTTGTCCACACAGCCTTTCTTGTGATAGGAGTTGTTATTATGCGTGTTGTTGTAACTGTTGATTTCGATGCAATTGGCCCTGAGCCGTTAGCCGAATGACCATGCCTGTGGCCAGGCCATCGGTGCTGTGCTGGCGCACTTGCTTTCAAGGGCGTCAAAGGCAAAGAAGAGGGTGAGGACCAGGGGTGTGTGACGCCATGGCCGAGGCCACGAAAGTGCCCCAGATTTGTGTTGGTTTCTTTGGTTCCCTCTTCTTCTTCTTCTTCTTCTTGTTCTTCGTCGTCTTCGTCGTCTTCGTTCAGTGCAGTCCCTGGCCCGCCCTCGTCCGCGCACATGCCATGCGCGCCTCTCCCCTCTCTTCCCGGCCCCCATCTCGGGCACACCCGGTGCTCTGAAGCCAGCCGGCTGGCTGGCCTGCGCTCGTCCTTTCTTGCTGCTCGCTTGATTGCTGGCCAGCCTGCGCGCGTGCTCGCGTGCGTGCAAGCTTGCTGGCTTGCCCGCCTCCTCCCTCAGTGGTTGACGCGCGCGTCTCAGTTGTGCTTCTCCATTGTTTTGCACGTCCTGTGGATGCTGTGTCAGGACTGTGTAAGCAGCTTTTTGGACCACGCTGAGTTCACATGTGTGTGACGTAGTTGTTGGTTCCAGGTCCTCGCAGGTGCACGGCGACCTCTACGCTCTACGTAGGGGTGCGAAGCTGCCCTGCCAGAGAGGGGGCGGCTCGAGGATGGGGAGAGCCCAGAGGAAATCTTGGAGACGTGGCAAAAGAGAAAATGTGGGCCACGGGAGGTTGAGGAAGCAGCAGTTCAGCTATTCCTGCATTCCCAGAATGTTGGGGTTGGCAGTCGCACGGCGCCCCCAAACCACACGAGGATTGCGTCCGAGGCCAAGCCGCGCCACGACCTCGTTATCATATCGGCAGGGACAACGGACGTTGCACAGGACCTGGCGGCATATGGCGGCCTTTCCGAGTGAGGGACGATAGGAAGGATCCAAGGCGGAGAGTGGGGGGATAAGGAAGAAACGAGACGGAGGATTTCAAGTGCAATGGTGATCACGATGTCGTTTATGTGGTTTTCGTGCCAGCCTCTACACAATTGCACTCGTGCGGTCTCAAGAACCTGAACCTGAGTCAGGTTCCCCTGGCTCGAGTGCGTCTGTATGTAATGGAGTCTCCTGCAACTGCTCAACGTAGGTGCAAGGATTGGTGCACTGACAAGCTGATATGATATGCAAGAGTGGATACGTCAAGATTTGAGGCTGTCATCTGCCCCCTTGGCCGCTGTTCCCAATCGGCGACGCATTCTTGCCGCCGGCCACACCCACACAACGACATTATTAGATAAGTGTAATACTGCTAGGTGCTAGTGGCTTTCCTTGCGCGCACCGTTTGACTGGCGCCAGCATCTCGACATATCAAAATCATTGTAAGTGGAGCGAGGTATCTTACATACGAAATGTATACAACTCGCGATACGAAACCGCAACCATTAGCACTGGCCACTTAAACAGTCATTAGCCGTGCAAGCAAACTACTGCTCGTGTTGCTTTGTTGTGTGCTGTACGTTGCATGATGATGCCGCTGTGAAGACGTAGGCGCCACGCATGGCCGCATGGTCAACCATCCAAGTCACCAGTTTGCACCTGCGGCGATACATGATTGCCGTTCGCGCTTCGTAAGCACCGTTCTGAGTCAGTGTGTCACAGGGCTGAGGTTCCCAAGACTTTTGTTGCTGCATGTCGCACTTGCGCGCAGGGACATAGTCACTTGCAAGTTCGAATGCTGTTGCTTTCTATGTGTCTATGCCACAAGGCGATCTTGCGCTGATATGCCTGTATGCGTAGGGTTTGAGGGCGCTGTGGGTGACCTCAGGCATCATATTGAACCGCTGCCAGGAAATTGCGAACGCTGTGAATATGATGATGAGGTTGAGGAGGAGTAGGAGCAGGAGGAATATCAGAAACATGAGGAGGTGGAGGCGCATGACCAATAGTGGCAGCAGCGGCAGCACTGGCAGCAGCGATAGCGCAAGCGGCAAGAACAACAGAGGAAGGAGGCAGGGGCACAATCGGTTGGGCCTACGGATTGGGATCTGCCATTGGTCATCGCATTCCATCCTCGTGGGCCAGTTGAACTGTCACTTGGGCAATGAGGCTTTCTACATGCGATTTGTCGTCGCTTTAGCCTAGTTGTCAACGTGCTTGCCTCCATGCTTTTGATCGCTGGCTAGCTCCCTCGTTGCGGTGACCGTCAGACCTGAGTCGAAGAGCTGGTCAGCCAGGTGCCCGGGAATTGTGCAGGATACGGGGGCGGGCTGACCTGGAATTGCCGCGCCGGCCCCAGACGTCTCGCCACCCCGACGACATCCTCGACAACCTGCGAGCGTTCCACGAGGTCCGCGGCCCTGGGTCGTGGGTCCTGGCCCTGCCTGCTGCCGTCCTGCGCTGCTCGCGTGGGGGCAGGGCGACCAGTAGGAGGAGGAGGAGGAGGACAGCTCTGCGGTCAGGATTCGACTCATCGGCCCTGCTCTGGCCGGCCGACCGACCGACCGAACGAGCAGGAGGACGACGAGGACGAGGACGATGATGGGAGGAGGAGGAGGAGGAGGAGGAGGAGGAGGAGGAGGAGCAGGAGGAGGGAAGAGGAAGGAGGGTGGAAGAGGGAGGGGTGGAGAGGGAGCAGGAAGGAGGGAGGAGCGCGCGTTGTCCGAGGGCCGCAAGGGGCCACGAGCATCGGGTTGCGCCAGTCACGGCGGCGCGGGCGGCCAGCCTGGGACGGCGCCGAGGGAGTGCCATGGACAACGCGAGAGTAAAGCACGGGCCAGCGAGAGAGAGAGAGAGAGAGAGACCAGGAAGCAGAAGAACAGTCGTGCGGTCGCGTCACTATCTGCGCCCCAGGCCGCGCATGGAGCGCAACGTTTCGCACGATCGCGGAGGAGGAGGATCATGAGAATGAGGTGGAGGAGGATGACGACGAGGCGGACGACGACGAGATAGCATCCGTGCCCCCAAGACCCGCTCCCTGTGTCGGCCGATCCTTCCGAGCGTGGGCTTCGGAGGCTCGTCCCGGGCCCCTGGGGCCCGCAGGGAGATCGCCCCGCGGCGCGAGGCCGTGCGAAGGACGCCGGAGTTCTGGAGGCGTGTGTCGCTTGGGCGCCGCGTAATGGGGGGGGTCATAAATGGGGGGGTGGCGAGCGTGGTCCGAAAAGGTACCCAAACGGTACCTAAACGAGCCCCCTGGGGCTCCGGAGGGGCCCGAAAGGGGCACCAAAGGGGACCTTTTCTGACCCCCCCATTTGTGACGCCCAAGTCGCTTTCTGCCGGGGCTGCACAACTCCCCTGTCTTGGAGGGACCCTCGAGGCTGCTCGCGAGCCATCCGTTTTCCTCGAGTTGCTCCGAGGCCGCCCGTCCATGGCTCGTTGCCGGAGCCGCAGGACGCGCCAGGGCTACCGCGCGAAACGTAGCAAATAGGCCCGGATAGGCGGCGAACAGTTACGGAGCAGCACCCCACTATCCAATTGGCGCATCATGCTTGCCGATGCTCGCAATATCGCAAACTTTTCCTGACATGAACGGGAAGCGCGTGAACGGGAAGAGTTGCGCAAGAATTCGCAGCATCATCGCGATCAAATGTAGTATGGGCGAGCTCTCCGAACGCTCACAAAGGATACGTACGGACACTCGCCCTCCGAACGTTCACAATTATATTCCTGAGTATCCTTTTTCACTATTCCGTGTGAGGAGGACCACGGCGAAGACGACTACCAGGGGAGGAGGAGGAGGAGGAGGAGGAGGAGGAGGAGGAGGAGGAGGAGGAAGAGGAGGCGGAGGAGGAGGAGGAGCAGCAGCAGCAGCAGCTGCAGCAGCAGCATCAGTGGAGGGGCGGAGGAGGAGGGAGCAGGGGAGAGAAGGACGAGGAGAGGAGGAGGAGGAGGAGGAGGAGGAGGAGGAGAAAACGGAGAAGGAGGAAAACGAAGAGAGGCGGAAGAGGACGAGGAGGAGGGAGGGAGGAGGAGGAAGAGGGGGAGGAGGAGTAGGAGGAGAGGAGGAAGAGGAGGATGAGGAGGAGGAGCAGGAGGAGGAAGAGGACGAGGAGGACGAGGAAGACCGGGAGGAGGAGGAGGAGGAGGAGGAAGAAGATGAGGAGAAGGCAATTGTTGGAGGATGTCTCGAGCGAAATTCTCTGGTCTTGGAAACCCGTAGTTTTTCAATTAGTTCGCTTTCGAGGGCCAGTCCGAATGAAGCGCGTGAAAGGGAAGGGTTGCGCAATAAATTGCAGCATCATCGCGATCTCATGTAATATAGGCGAGCTCTTCGAACGCTCACAAGGGATACGTATGGACACGCGCACCCCTGACGTTCACAAGCATATTCCTGAATATCCTGTTCACTCTTCCGCGTGAGGAGGACGACGGCGAAGACGACTACCAGGGGAGGAGGGGGAGGAGGAGGAGGAGGCGGAGGAAAAAGAGGAGGGGGAGGAGCAGCAGCAGCATCAGCATCAGTGGAGGGGGTGGAGGACGAGGAAGAGCAGGAACAGGAGCAGGGATCAGGGGAGGAGGAAGACGACGAGAAGGAGGAGGACGAGGAGGAGGAGGAGGAGGAGGAGGAGGAGGAGGAGAAGAAGAAGAAGAAGAAGGAGGAAGAACGGCAGGAGAAGGCGGACGAGGACGAGGAGGAGACGGGAGGGGGACGAGGAGGAGGAGGAGGAGGAGGAGGATGAGAAAGAGAGGAGGGAGAGGAGGAGGAGGAGGAGGAGGAGGAGGAGGAGGAGGAGGAGGAAGGGGAGGCGAGGAGGAGCAGGACGAGGAAGAAGACTAGGAGGAGGAGGAGTAAGAACAGGAGGAGGAGGAGGAGGACAAGGCAATCGTTGGAGGATGTCCCGAGCGAATCGTTCTGTGGTCAACAGAACTGTTGACAACCTTTTGGGGTATTTCAACACTTTCGCCTTCGACGACCCGTCCGAAGCTTTTTGTAGGGGATGTCTCGAGCGAAACGCTGATTTTCAAACGAATTTGCTGTAGTTATGTATAGAAATGGTTGTTTCAATACTTTCCCCTTCTGGGCCATCTTGGAGGTCGTCCGAGGACTCTCCGAAAAGATGCCTCACGAACGCCACTGGCGCATCCCATTTTTGTCGAGGAGGTCTCGGGCGAAACGCCCACAGTTGGAGGTCCGCGAAGTAGACCAGCGACTTCAACATGCCCACGTTCCGAGGACATCTCGGGCGAAACGCCGACGTTTCGCAACACGACGTCGGACGCGTCGGCCAGGACGCCATAGGACGCCCGCGCGCGCGCGGAGGGCGACGCCTGCCTCGCGCCCTCGCGGGAGCGCCACTTCGGAGCGAGATCCCCCCCCCGGAGCGAGCACGAGGGTCGCGGGCCGCCCGCGCGCCGCCCTGCCCCCAACCAGCTGGCGAGTCAAGACTAGTCAGGAGAAAAAAAAATCAATACTAGTCAGGAGAAAAAAAAAAAATCCCCCCCAAAAAAAACAGGCACAATTCATCGTCGATCCCCCCGGAAATATGGGAGCAAATCTGGGAAGGGGGGGGGGGGGAGAGGCAACGACCCAGAAACTGTGGGAAAAGATAGGGAATCCTGTTACTTGTGCCTATTTGCTTGTGTTCGGGCGAAGAGAACTATGCACATGCACCGATCCTGGCAAGGCCCGTCCTTGACCCAGGATCGGTGCATATGCCTTCCTGGCCAAGGTCGGAGGCCGTATGCACCGATCCTGGGCTCAGGGTGGGCCTGGCCAGAATCGGTGCATGTGCATAGTTCTCTTTCCTCTATGTGTGTCCCAGGGCCCCATTCACCTATGTGCCGCGCCGAGGGGGGGAAGCGTCGCCTCCGGCGAACTCCGCGGCGCGCCGCGGCGCGAGCGATGCCGCCGCCCGCTCGCGCGTCGACGGACTGGCGGACGACAGACGTGCGCCGCCTCCGAGCGGGAGCTCAACTCTCCCCCTCCTCCTCCTCCTCCTCCCTCCTCCTCCTCCTCCTCCTTCCTCCTCCCTCCTCCTCCTCCTCCTCCTCCTCCTCCTCCTCCTCCTCATCCTCCTCATCCTCCTCCTCTTCGGATTTTGGGCGTGAGCTCTCAGGAGCAAATCAGGAGGGGGAAAAAAAAACAGACACAATTAATCGTCGATTCCCCAGAAAATATGAAGAAAAAAATGGGAATTCGACCAGCGATTTCAACATGCCCACGTTCCGAGGACATCTCGGGCGAAACGCCGACGTTTCGCAACACGACGTCTGGCGCGTCGGCCAGGACGCCATTACGCCCGCTCGCGCGCGGAGGGCGACACCCGCCTCGCGCCCTCGCGGGAGCGCCACCTCGGAGCGAGATCCCCCCCCCCGGAGCGAGCACGAGGGTCACGGGCCGCCCGCGCGCCGCCCTGCCCCCAACCAGCTGGCGAGTCAAGACTAGTCAGGAGAAAAAAAAAACAATACTAGTCAGGAGAAGAAAAAAAAAACAACAAGAAAAAAAAAAGGCACAATTCATCGTCGATCCCCCCGGAAATATGGGAGCAAATCTGGGAAGGGGGGGGGGGGGGAGAGGCAACGACCCAGAAACTGGCTGGGAAAAGATAGGGCGTCCTGTTGCTTGTGCCTATTTGCTTTGTGTGTCCCAGGGCCCCTTCACCTACGGTAGGTTCGTGCGGCGATGGCGCGCCGGCGACGCCGGCGAAGGTGTTCAAGGTTGAATTCTGTGACGCGGAAGCACCGAGTGTCGCGGTAACGCCATTGGACCCGATTGAATTCAACCTTGAACGATCGGGGCCGCGATCGATTCAAGGTTGAACGATCGACGCAGTGTCAGAGACCTCTGCGCGCGGCGACGCCGTGCGAACCTACCGTATGTGCCGCGCCGAGGGGGGGAAGCGTCGCTGCCGGCGAGCTCCGCGGCGCGCCGCGGCGCGAGCGATGATTGCCGCCCGCTCGCGCGTCGACGAGCTGGCGAACGACAGACGTGCGCCGCCTCCGAGCGGGAGCTCAACTCTCAGGAACAAATTTTCCCCGAGCGTCCCAACCTGCGCGGCGGGAACTGGCGATCAAACTACCCCAATCCGGAACCAGAAAGTGAAACAGGAAGGATGCAGCTGGGACTCAGGGGTCCGGCCTACCCCTGCAGGCTGCGGAGAGAGAGAGAGAGAGAGAGAGAGAGAGACAGAGAAATCAACGCGACGCGGCGCAACTACGGCCCTGCTGGGCGGAACTCTCAGGAACAAATCAGGAGGGGAAAAAAAACACACAGACACAATGAATCGTCGATTCCCCCGAGAATATGGGAAAATATGGGAAAATTGGGCGGGACGGCAAAAACCCGGAAAATATTGGAAAATATGGGGCGTAGCTTTATTTGTGTGTGTATGTATTTGTGTGTCCCAGGGCCCCTTCAACAAAGTGCG